AATCATATGGCGGTTGTATATCTAACTGTTTAAGAAAATGCCAAATTGTTATCAAGTGGTTATAGCACTTTTCATTCCCACCTACAACATATGAGAGTTCCAATTTCTCCCTATTTTTGCCAATTCTTGAAATGGTCAGTTTCCAAAAGCTATTTAAATAGATTTACAATAAAATTTCCTTGTAGTTTTAATTGGTAGTCCCAAATGACTGATGATTTTTTTTTCAAATGACTGATGATTTTCATGTATTTATTTGGCATCATTTATTCTCTTCACTCTTCAACTTTTCATTGCTGTGACCAAAGTACCTGACGAGAACAACTTAAAGGAGGAGAAGTTTCATTGGTTATGGTTTCAGAGGCTTCGTCCATGGTAAGTGGACTCTGGGTCCACGGTGAAGCAGACTGCCATGACAGAAAGGCACAGAGGAGAAGTGCTGCTCTGCTCGTGGTGACAAGAAGCAGAGAGAGAAAGGGGAAAGGGTCCCAGGGAAGATGTACCCTTCTAACTGCATGCCCCCAGTGACCGACCTCCTGCAGCCGCATTCCAGCCAGTCTGTTCACACAAGGGTGGACCTATCAGGTAGACAACACTCATAATCCAATTATTTCACTTCCAAACATTCCTGCATTATAACCCAGACGCTTTTGGGGAACAACTCACATACAAACCATAAGAGTCATTGTTTTTATACCTGAGCTTTGAGAGTTCTCATTATGTTCTGGATGCAAGTTCTTTATCAGATATATTATTTCCAAATATTTTTTCCAAGTCTATGATTTGTCTTTTCATTCTCTTAGTGTCTTGTGTAGAACAGTTTTTCATTCAGGTGAAGTCAATTTGTTAATTTTTAAAATGCTTTTGGCATCAGTTGTAAGAAATCTTTGTTTAATCCAAGGTCATAGAAGTTTTCTCCTATGCTTTCTCCTGGAAAAACTTTCTCCTTTAAAACTTTATCTTTAGGTCTATGATCTGATTCGAATTACATTTTTACATGGTGCTAAATCTGTATCAATCTTCTTTTTCTCCTGTTTTTTTTAAATAAATGCTGAATTGTTCCAGTTTCATTTGCTCAAAATACTATTTTTTCTCTACTTTGTATCTTTGTCAAAAATCAGTTGTCCGTGTATGTGTGGGCCCATTATTGGATTTTCTATTCTGCTATACTGATGTATATATTGTGTTTATACCAATACCACACCCTTACTGTTGTTTCTATAATGCATTTTGAAATCAGGTAATGTTAGTCTTCCAAATTTGTTCTTTTTCAGAGTTACTCTGGCTGTTGGGTCCTTTGTACTTCTATTCCATATGTAAACTTATAATCAGCTTGTCAATTTCTATTAAAAATGCTGCTGGGATTTGGACTGAGAGTACTTCGAATCTTCAAATGAATTTCAGGGAATTGACATCTTAACAACATTGAGTCTTCCGACCCACAAACATACCATTTTTCTCAATTTAGGTAGGCTTTGATTTCTCTCAGCAGTGTTGTGCAGTGTGAACTGTACAGGTCTTTCACGTTTTATTCAGGTTTGCTTTTACGTATTATAAATGTTATGCTTAAAAGTTTTCAATTTTTAATTGTTTTTGCTGGTATATAGAAGTACAAATTTTTGCCATATTGATCTTATATCGTGCACCAGGTTAAATCCACTTATTCTGGTAGCTTTCTTTTTATTTTTTGTTTGTTTGTTCTTATTAGTTATACATATTAGCAGCATGTATTTTGACATATGTACATATATGGAGTATAATTTCTCATTCTTCTGGTTGTACATGATGTAGAAGTACAATGATCGTGTAACCATATATGTACGTAGGATAGTCACGTCCAATTCATTCTATCTTTTCTATTTAGTTATAGTCTGTATTGATAATTATTGACCACAAAGAAAGGCAACTTTACTTCTGTCTTTCTAATTTGGAGGTCTTTTATTTCTTTTTCTTGCCTTTCTGCACTGATGGAATCTCCAGTGTGCTGTAGGATGCAGGTAGTGGGGGTGGATATCCTTGACTTGTTCTTGAGCTTAGGAGGAAAGCATTCAGTCTTTTACCATTAACTATGAAATTAGTGGTAGATCTGATGTAGATGCCCCTTATCAGACTGAGGAATCTCCCTTCAATTGCTACTTTGCTGAGAGTTTTTCTTGGGAAGCGATATTAGATTTTGTCCAGTGTTTTGTCTGCATTATTGAGACAGTCTTGCGGTTTTCTTTTTGTAGGTTATTAATATTATAAATTATATTAGTAGATTTTCATCCCTGGGTCACAATATACTATTATATTTATCTGTTGTTGACATTGACTTGCCAGTAGTTTATTAATAATTTTTAAATCTGTGTTTCATGAGGACTATTTACCTGTGGTTTTCTGACAATAATTGTCTCATTCTGATATCAAGATAATGCCAGTCTCATAGGATGTGTTTGGAAATCTTCTTTTCAATTACCCGGAACTTTATGTAGAAATGTTATTTTTTTTCTTTAAATATTTGGTAGAATTTACCAATAAAGCAATCTGGACCTGGAGTTTTCTTTGTTGAAAGATTTTTAATTCTGAATTTCAATATCCTTAATAGATATAGGGATATTCAAGTTATATATTTCTTCTTGAATGAAATTTGGTTGTTTATGTGTACAGCAAATATTCCTGTTTTTTTAGGTGAATTTATTGGCATGAAGTTGTTTGCAGTATTTTCCTATTATTCCCTTTAAAAGGATATGTAGTGAAGCTACCACTCTATTATAGATTTGGGTAATTTCTGTCTTTACTCACCCCCTACCACATCAATCTAGCTAGAAGATAACAATTTTCTTTCCTTTTTTTTCTTTTCTCCCCTCCCCCTGTGGTATTGGAGATCAAAACCAGGGCTTTGAGTATGTTTCCTAAGTGGCGGCAGGTGTGTATGGGGGGGATCAATTTTATTTATCTTTTTAAAGAAAAAGGTTTTGGTTTCATTGCTTTTTCTGTTTTCTATTTCTTTTTTCTCCTGCTTTGGTCATGTTGTGGTTTGGATTGCAGTTTCCCCCAAACACTCACGTATGAGACAATACAAGAAGGTTCAGAGGAGAAGGGATTGGGCTATAGCCTTAACCTAATCAGCAAATCCATCCCTGATGGGATTAGTTGAGTGGTGATTGGAGGCAGGCGGGACGTGGCTGGAGGAAGTGGTTCATTGGGGGCGTGGCTATGGGTATATATTTTGTATGTGGAGAGTGGAGACCCCTGTTTCAGTTCTGATCACCATGTGAGCAGCTCTTCCACCCTGTTGTGCTGCCTCACCTTGGGCCGGCTGGAGCCCTGAGGAGTGGAGCCTGCTGTCTATGGATGGAGACCTCTGAAACTGTGAGACCTTCATCAACTTTCCTCCTCTAGAGTTGTTCTGGTTGGGTCCTTTTAGTAACAGCAATGAAATAGCTGACGAAAACAGCCTTTATCATTTTTCTTTCTTTCTCCTTATTATTATAATTATTAACACATTAATTGTTCAATGTAATGGGTGCAATTTCTGTGCACTGGTTTATCCTTTGTGCTTTCCTGATGTCTGCTCTTCTGCCTTATGGGTCTCCTCTTCTCTCCCCTCACTCTGATCCCCTTATTGTTTTCTTCTTACTAATTTGCTGTTATTTTCATAGTTTCTTTTCCTTTTTTCTTTGAACTCAGGGCCTCATACTTACTACGCAAGTGCTCTGCCACTAAATTCCATCGCCAGCCCTGTTTATTTTTTTTTATTTTTATTTTTTTAATATTTATTTTTTAGTTATAGGTGGACACAATATATTTATTTTATTTTTATGTGGTGCTGAGGATCAAACCCAGTGCCTCATGTGTGCTAGGTGAGCACTCTACTTCTGAGCCACAACCCCAGTCCATCTTTTTATTTTATTTTTTGAGACAGGGTCTCCCTAAGTTGTCTGAACTGGGCTTCAACTTGAGATCCTCCTGCCTCAGCCTCCTGGGCAGCTGGGATTATAGGCATGTGCCACCACACAACTTATAGTTTCTTAAGCTGGAAGCTGAAGTGACTGATTTGAGACCTTCTTTTTTTCTCTCCAAAATAGGCATTTAACTCTACAAAATCCCCCAAATACTGCTTTAATACCATCCCACATGGTTGTGTTGTATTTTCATTTAGTTTTATACACATACATTTTAACCCAGGATTGAACCCAGAAGCGCTTAACCACTGAGCCACATCCCCAGTTCTTTTTTATTTTATTATTATTATTATTTTTTGAGACAGGGTCTCACTGAGTTGCTTAGGGCCCCATTAAGATTATGTGTCTAGCTTTGAAATCACAATCCTCCTGCCTGAGCCTCCTGAGCTGCTGGAATTACAGGCGTGTGCCACCACTCTTGGCTAGTCCAAAATATTTTATAGTTTCCTCTTCTATTTATTTTTTGACCCATAGATTATTTAGAAGTTATTATTTTTAAATTTCCAAAAATTATAGATTTTTCCAGAAATCTTGTTACTGACTTCTAATTTAATTACAACATAGTCAGAGATCAAAACTTACATGATTAATATTACTTTAAATTTATTAAGACTAGTTTTATGACCCTGAATATGGTCTATGCTATTGTCTGACTATTTATGCCTCCCCCACCAAATTCATATGTTAAAAATTCAAACCCCCAACATGTAGGCATTAGAAAATCAGCCTTTAGCCGGGTACAAAGGCGCATATCTATAATCCCAGCAGTTGGGGAGGCTGAGACAGGAGGATCACAGGTTCAAAGCCAGCTTCTACAATTTATCGAGGCCCTAAGCAACTTAGCAAGATCCTATCTGTAAATAAAATACAAAAAGATCTAGGGATGTGGCTTTGTGGTTAAGTGTCACTGGGTTCAATCCCTGGTTACCAAAAAGAAAAAGAAAAAACAATGAGCCTCTAGAGGTGATTAGGCCCTGAAGGTAGAGCCCACATGAACAGGGGTAATGCTTTTTATACAGGAGAACTCAGAGAGACCCTGGTACCTTTCCTTGTGCAAAGACAGGGAGAAGTTGCTGCCCATGAACCAAGGAGTAGGCCTCACCAGCAAGAAAACATGCAGCACCCTGACCTTCGACCTCCCAGCCTCCAGATCCATGGGAAGTAAGTTTCTGTTGTTTATAAGCTACTCGGTTTATGGTATGTTTTTAGAGAAGCTGGAGCACACTGAGGCGGTCCATCTTCATCACTGTTCCTGATGTACTCGCCAAGAATGCATATTCTACTGCTGTTGGTGGAGTATTTGTTCAATGTCAGTTAGGTCTAGTTGGTTGATAGTGTTGTTAAACAATTTTATATACTTATTGATTTCCTGTCTACTTGTTCTACCAATTATTCAGGCAAAGTAGTTGAAATTTCTGAGTATAATTGTTGACTTGTCTCTTTTTTCTTAAAGTTCTTTCAATGTTTGCTTTATGTATTTTGCAGATATGTGACAAAGGGTATAAACATTTAGAATTTATGCCCATTGATGACTCCCTGATCATTATGAATGCCATTTTTTTAATCCCTGACAATATTCTTTGCTCTGAAATCTGCATTGTCTAATATAAAAGACAGCCACTGCAGCTTTTATTTAAGTGTCTTTTCCTACCCTCCAACTTTTAGCTCATACGTGCTTTTATTTTTAAAATGCATGTCCTGTTGCTGTGGTTCAATATGGTTTGAGTGTGTCTCCCAAGGGTTCTTGTATTGAGGGTTAGTCTCTATTAAACATCAGTTATGTTGTTACAGGTGGGGACTACGGGAGGTGATTAGGATTAGACAAGGTCCTCAGGGTGGAGGCTCCAGACTGGGTACTGGTGGCTTTATAAGAAGAGGGAGAAACACCAGAATAGCCACTCAGGTGTGCACTTCCCGTCCATGCCATGTGATGCCCTGCACCTCCTCAGTACTCTGCTGGCAAGATTATCACCAGAGCCAGTGCTATGCTCTTTGAACTTTCAACCTCCAAAACTGTGAACCAAATTATTCTCTCTTTTTAAAATTAGCCTGCCTCAGGTCTTTTGTTATAGTAACAGAAAATGGACTAACATACCCTTAGGCAGAATACACTTAGGTCTTGCTTTTTATACACACATATACACACACGCACACACACACACACACACACACTCAACAAACATTCATACAATCTTTCCCTTTAATTGGGGAATTGAGTCCTTTGCACTTAATGTGTTTGTTGATATGTTTAGACTTCAACTTGCTATTTCTTTCCTATTTGTCCTATGTATTCCTTATTCTCCCATTAACTCTTTTTGCCCTCTAGGGATTAATTGATTTTTTTATGATGACATTTTATCACCTTTGTTAGCTTATGAGCTATAACATTTTTGTTTTCATTTTAATGTTTGCTTTTGGTTTACAGTATATATCTTTAACTTATCAAAGTCTAACTTCAAGTGATACTAAACCATCTCATCTATACTGTAAATATCTTACCATTGTGTATTTCTGTCGCTCTCTCCCAACTCTTGTGCTATCGATACCCCTGGTGCCTTTCCACGTGTGATAGCTCCCACTACATTGTTATTGTTTTTAGGTAAACAGTCAAATAACTTTTTAAGTTCTTTTACAGAGATTTAAATAATAATAAGAAAATACCCTATATATTATAATTATTGTTTCTGGCACATTTCTTTGCTTCATATAGATCTATTTTGTTTATTTATTTATTTATTTATTTATTTATTTTTTTTTTAATTTTTTATTGGTTGTTCACAACATTACAAAGCTCTTGACATATCATATTTCATACATTAGATTGAAGTGGGTTATGAACTCCCAATTTTACCCCAAATGCAGATTGCAGAATCACATTTGTTTATTTATTTTTAATAATATGAGTCTATGAGTAATGAAGTTTTTTTTGGATTTTGTGTGTTTGAAAATGTTTCTTTCTTAATGTTTGAACGATATCATTGCTGCCTATAGAACCAAGTTGGCAGTTCTTCCCTTTGGGGTGCTTAGGGATTCTGCTCCACGGTCGTCCTGGGTGCAGAGATCCTGCAGAAAAGGCGCTGTCACCCTGGTCTTTGCTTCTCTGATTGCAACGTCTCTTTTTTCCTTTTATTGACTCCCTTTAAGACTTTCTATTTGTCACTGGTTTTCAACAATATGACTATGATGTACTTTGGTGTTTTCTTCTTCTTCTTCTTTTGAGAATTTTAGGTTTGCTGAGTTTCTTGTTTCTTCCGTTATTTTTTTCTGTACCTCTCTGTCTCTCCTCAGGAATTCTGATTGCTTGAAGTATCTCAAAGCTCACCTTTCATTCTGTATTTAATATTTTTTAGGGGGAGAGCGGGTACTGGGGATTGAACTCAGGGGCACTCCACCACTGAGCCACATCCCCAGCCCTATTTTGTATTTTATTTAGAGACAGGTTCTCACTGAGTTGCTCAGTGCCTCGCTATTGCTGAGGATGGCTTTGAACTCGAGATCCTCCTGCCTCAGCCTCCCGAGCTTCTGGGATTACAGGCGTGCACCACCATGCCCAACCTGTGTTTAATTTTTGATAGTTTTTATTGCTGTGCTTTCAAATTCACCAAATTTTCTTTAGCAGTGTATAATCTACCATTAATCCCATCTAATGTCATTTGTTTATTTTTATGTTATTTATTTCATTCCCCAAAGTTTTATCGGGATCTTTTTATATAGTCTGTGTCTTAACTCTTTAAACATATGAAGCACAAGTACAATTCTTTTAGTGCCCTTGTCTATCAACTTAAATATCTGTGTCAGATATTAAAATTTTTTTAAAAAATTTAAACTTTTTAAAAAATCTAATTTTTTAAAAATCTAATTTTGTGTATATTAGGAGTGAAGATGATGGTGGTATTCCTAGGAAATCAGTTTTAATTGATTGATTTTTCTTCTCATTATGGGTGGCAGTTCCCTTCTTTGCTTACCTGGTAATTTTGATGTCAGATATTGTGGATTTTATCTGCTGTGCTAGGTATTTTTGTATTCCTTTAAATATTGTTGAGCTTTGATTTTAACATAGTTAAGTTACTTGGACACAGTTTGATCCTTTTGGGACTTGCTTTTAAGGTTTATCAGACAGAATTGGAGCGGTGCTCAGTATTCTCCATTACTGAAGCAAGGTCCTTTCGTGCACTGGGCCTGAAGCCCTATGCACCTTCCCAGACATGAGGTTTTACAGTCTGGGGGTCGGGGGTGGGGAGCGGGCAGCACTCCAGGCTCTGCTTGTACCAGGCACCATTCTCCAAGGGTTGTGAGTGGTTCAGGTAGCTTCCTCCCATACATGCACCAACTGGTACTCCACTGAGTACTCCAGGTGGGCCTCTGCGGATTTCCAGAGTTCTGCCTCTGTGGAGCTCCCTCTTTCCAGATGCTGTGTCCCGCCAACCCAGCTTACTGTACTCTCTTCCTGCCCTGCAACTCAGGAAATCCACTGGTTTCTGCCTGGGTGTCTCCTCCTTGCATTGAGTTTAGAAACTCCCAAGGCAGCAAACTAGGGAGGGCTCACTCCATTTATTTATTTTCCATTCCTGCGAGATCACTTTACTTTGTTGGCTGCTGTACACACACTGTCTTGAAAATCATTTTCTATGTATTTCATCCATCATTTGGTTCTGCCAGGAAGCTAAATCTAGTTGATGCTACTCCATTGCAGTCAAAAGAAATAGAAAATATGATACTGTTTTTATAATCTGATTTTTTTTTCACTCTAAAATCTCTAAAATTTATTTTGACATCAATAAATAATTTCCTCGAGGTTATTTTTCTTCTTCTTCTCCTCCTCCCCCCTTCTTCTTTTTGAAGTCCTGGAAATTGAACTCAGGAAGCATGCTAGGCAAATGCTCTACCACTGAACTACAGTCCAGCCCTATACATTATTATTATTATTATTGTTATTATTATGATTACTATTATTATTTTAGAATTTAACCTTTATTTCTTATTTGTTTATTATGTGGTGTGCAGGATTGAACCCAGTGTCTCACCAATGCTAGGCAAGCATCCTACCACTGAGCTATAACCCCAGCCCCCATATTATTATTATCATTGTTAAAAATTTTTTGTTGTTGATGGACCTTTATTTTATCTATTTATTTATATGTGGTGCTGAGAATCAAACCCAGTGCCTCACACATGCTAGGCAAGTGCTCTACCACTGAGCCACCACCCCAACCCCTCCATATTGTTTTAAATGGCTGCATACAATTCCACCATTTGAGCAGACCAGAATTTCTAAAACAATCCCCAGTCATTGAACATACATTTTTGTCCCAAAGTTTCTGTCCTTATAAACAATGTTAAGATAAACATTCCTGAAGCAAAATGTCTGTGAACTTCCCTACCAGCTTCCTTCAGAGAAATTCCTAGAAATGGACATCCTGGGAAACTGTTGTACACGTCTCTGATGAATTTTGCCTATTTGGCTAAACATCCTTCCAGAAGGTTGGCCAGGCTCTTGTTTTATTTTGCTTGTTTCCTTCCTCACTGGTTGATACTGTTCATCTTTTTCTCTCTCCTTTGGTTTGGTCTTTTCTTGATTTTTCACTACTCACTGAACTTTGTTACAAAATCTTACCGCTTTTGTTTTCTCACAGAAGGAAGGGCAAGTCATGTAGATTGAAAATATGGCATTCTTTAGCCTGCTTTCATGGCCCCAGAACTGTGGTGAGCTTGTTTCGAGATCCTGCTGTCCCCAGCTGGCGTTGCTCACGGCCATCCACTCTCCCACGGTTCTCCTTTCCAAGTTTGGGCTTTGTGGCTCAGCTGAAGAAAAAATGTCACTACCCTGGGAAAACAGTGGGGTGACTGATATTTCTAGAGTTGCAAGACACTGGAGCACGAGAGGGCCAGTGCTTCATGCATCAGAAGCAGACTCAATGGAGCGATGGGTTTTTTTCTTTTTTCTGTGAGTCTTCTCTCTCTACAATGTGCTATGACTAGGTTTCATATTGTGTCTCTGGGTGAGACAGAGAAACGTATAAGAGGCTCATGTCTCCCTCCCAGTGGGGGAAAGACTGAATTCTTGACAGCTGTTACCAAAAAAAAAAAAAAAAAAAAAGAGAGATCAAGAGTCATTAAGAGGGAAAATAAAAAAAAACAAGTGGAAAAATCCTGGAATGAAG